TTGCAGGAATAATTGTCGATAAGGAGTGGATATCAATCTAAGTAAGCCATGTGTTTCCTGCCTCAATGCCCGGGGCCTCCCACCTCTGCATTCTGCTCAGCTCCAACTTGGCCTTCACCTTGAGAAGTTGCATGAACACGTAGGGAGTGTCCACTCCTCACTGATGACCTCGAGGATGGGCATGGCTCCTTAGGCATCTAAGGAGAGATAGAGCTGTCAGTGAATGAGTTTGTGACCTGGTTTATATGCAGTGACCCTCTAGCCCCTGACATTGTTCAGGCTGAGTATGACTTGCAAAGGTTCTCAGAGATAATCTATATTTCCAAAAGGGTTAAAGTCTCCTGCCATGCTGGGGGGTTAGTCACTTATTCTACCATTGTGGTCTTTAAGTCTTCTCAGTAAGCCTGATAAATGCTTAATGGTGCAGTGCCAGAGGCTGCCTGCCCAGAAACCACAGAGATGCAGAGAGCAGTGCGGGCAGCCTCGGGGCGAGCACAGGGAGCCACTTGCTCACCGCTCTAGACCCTCTCCCTGGCTGGGAACTGTGCTCTCCAGGTAAAGGCCATGAGGCAGGCACATCTGCATGTACCACCTTCTTTTCCTGCTCTTTCAGGGTCCATGATCATATCTGAGAAGTTTATGGGATCTCAATCAAAATTAAATGAAGCTCCCTTCCTTCCTTTGCTTCTCCCCTGCTTCCCCATTCACAACATAAACATTGTACATTTTTATATTTGCATGACAGTTTTGTAATGGATGGAAGTACAATGTCTTGAGGAATGAATGGGTCCCTTTTTTAATTTGCACAACGACACTACGTGATGTTCCATCCAAGCCTTCCCGTGAGTGCCTTGGTAGGTTTATTATCTATGGCTGCAGAGAGCTGGCCTAGGACCAGCAGCTAACTGAAAGCTACAGGAATCATTTCATCTATGCATGATGAAGAACTTGCCAAGCATGGAGCCTTACAAAAAGAGTGGATTGCCATGGGAGTTATTTCTCCATAGAGAAAAATATTCAACCAAAAGCTAGAAAACCATTTGGCTAGACTATTCTAGGTGAAATTTGATGGTACTAACTTGGTGGTACTAACTTACCTTCCAGTTTGGAGACTTTCTGAGATGACTGGTATATATTGGGTTTTACTTTGGGCATTGTAGTCTGTAAAAAATAATTTCTAGGGGCCAGGGGTGTAGTTCAGTGGCACCATACATCCCTGACAAGAGCAAGGTCCTGAGTTTGATTCCCAGTACTGCAAAAAAAAAAAAAAAAAGAAAGTAAATAAATGCAGAAAGGAAGGAAGGAGAAAGAAAGAAAGACAGAAAGAAAGAATAATGAATAATTTCTAACCATTTTATCCATGTTTTTAAAATGCATGTATATAGAGGAGCTGAGGAGACAGTAGGGTAAGAAGTAGTTGGGTTTGGTCTATTTATACATTAACCCTCTCCCCTTCTCCTCATTTTCACTGTGTCTTCTCTCAGCTTCTAGAAGGTGATGTTGAGATTGCTCTGGACAGAGAAAGTGGGTTTCCGATGGGCATGGTGGGGTAGGAAGAAAGAGTGTCATCTTAGCTGGCAATGATACCACTTTGCCTATGGTGTACCAAAACAAAGAGATGACAAGTGCAAAGTTAGGTGGGTTCTCTAGTGCTTGGTGCTCCCTGGGCAGAGTCAAAAGGATGCTGAAATGAAAAACACCAAGAAAAGACCATGCACACTCAAGTACACGGCAGCTGGGGCTGGTGGGTACACAGGCCTCCTTGTTCCAGAGAACCCACGGTGTGGTTTACTCTATGTGTGCCAGTTGTGAAAGAAGAATTTCTTCTCTGCAAGGAAACTGTTTTATTTCCATTTCTTTCTAGAAGCAGTGGGAGCTTTGAGCTCATGCCAATACTTAGAAAAAACAGTTTTAATCACTCCAGTCTCAAGCTGACCAAGGACCTCTCTCCTGGGTGCCCATACTCCACTGGGATCCACTGGGGCCATAACTCTCATGCCCTCCCTGCTCATCAGCATCTGCAAATGAGAGGATCTCACTTACTTAGGCATGTATGTTGGGGACTCATGTGAATAATGAATTTCACTATAATGGGAATTCTGGTCTTGGAATTGCAGTTTTGGAGCTGCAAAAAACTGTAATGGTCAGCCCCCTGCCCATACCTGGGGTCTTCTCAGAATATAGCTCTATACCCTCAGACTTCTGAGGAGAGTTCAGTCAGTGTGCTAGAAGCAAACTGAGTCCAGGGTGAGGCAAGGATTTTGATCCTTGTCTTTCTAGAAATCTGCCCAGGATATCCCACAAGACTGTCCCAGGTGAGGCTCTCCCCAGGGATGCTGGTTGAACTGAAGATGCCAGAAGGTGGGGTGCCTACTATGTGAGCTGGCAGGTAAACATGTGGAGTGTCTGTGGTTGTGGCCTCAGGGACTGGAAGGAAATAGGCGATCTTATTTTTCACTAAGGGAGGGTTGGGACTGAGGTCAAGGTCAGGCAGGGGTTTGATGTGGAGTGTAGACCCTGAAGGATGGAAGCGAGGGCTTTCCGCAGAGTTGGCTTCTCCCCTCTGCTTCTTCAAGGGTCAGTACTAGGGACTCCAGTATTTCTAAAGCAGGGTCAGGAGAGGGTAGCTCTGGGGACAGCCCCAGCAAAAGCAGTGGGACATCCTAGGTATTCAGAATGTGATTGCTTGTGGACATGGGGGATGTATAATGAATGGGTACAAAATGAGATGAATGGGTACAAAATGTTCTTTCCACTTGTCCTTTTTTTCACCCTATATTTTTGCTGTACTTTCCTATCAATTTGCACTTGTAACAAAGGCCAAGTCTGGGGTAATCTCTCCTAAAGGATTATTCAACAGTGAAAAGTTTAGCGGGGGAGGAGTGGATCTTCCATCGATGGGTTTTCCCAAGATGTGGGCTGGCTAGCTGATGGCAGATGCAGGCTGAGGCCTGCCATCCCCCAGCCAGGAGGCCCTTGAAAGGAAAAGAGGCACAGTGTTCTCCCCTCATGACCTGGGGATTTCTCTCTGCTTTGCTCCGTCACTTCATGGAAGCAAAGGGTGTCCAGGGCTTAGTGTTAGGGAAATGGCTGAAATGTTTCTCTTAGGAAATGCCATAGAGTAGAGACTCAGCTAACTGTCTTGATCCAAATCCTGGCTCTAAAACCAGTCAATTTCCCTGTGCCTCAGATTCTCATTCCTAAGATAGAGATAATAACCGTACCCATTTGACAATGCTCTTAGGGTTAAATGAGGAGTGTGGAGCAGGACCTAGCACAGAGTATACCTGCTCCAATGACTGTCACTGGGAATGGGAGGAGTTAGCAAGAGTCAAAAGAAGCAGTGGGTGCTGCCATCAGACAGGCGTCCTCATTTGCTCAGTACCAGCATTTTCCTGGCCATCAGGCTCTGGACAAGCCAGATTGCTCTGAGCTTTGTCCTCTGTGAAACAGATCTGTTCCATACCTCACAGAACTGTTGTGAGAATTGGAATAAATCACATAGCACTCATCAGGCCTGGCACACAGTAGATATATTGTAACTTTTTTTTTAAGGTCAAGTGTAATGGTCTACCTAGATATCACCTTTCACCTTGAAAAGCCTTAGGAGTTGAGGACAGGAAAGTGTTGTTTTTTCCTGTTCCCATTTTGCCCTCACCTCAGCCTTCCTGAGGAGCAGGAAGGGAGCCTAAGAAATCCATGAAGCAGGAGTAGAACCAAGAGGAGTGTCGCCAGAGCCGGAGATTTACCTCAGTGGTACCTGCGTCACAAGTGCAAGGTCCTGAGTTTGATCCCCGGGATCCCCAAAAAAGAAGAGTGTGGCCATCTAGGGTACATGGGTTATGTGAGCAGGGGAGGGAAGGAGAGCCTGGCTGGAGGTGAGCAGTACGTTTGTCTGCAGCAGGCACTCCCTACCACCCACGGCTTGGGAGCGGGCCAGCCTCGCTTGGGTTGGCTTCTCGTCCACCAGTGTTTTCCTTGTCTGTTCCCTAGGGCTGGCGGCACCTGACAGGTGGCAAACAGGTTCAGGGGCTGGCAGTTCTAGCACTGGGCCCAGGTCTTGGGAGCCTCTTGGGCTCTCCCCTTCTCTGCCTAATGAGGCCCCTCAGGGAGAGAGAGCTCTCAAGAAAAGCAAAACCTGAGGGACCACACCATCCCTACCTGGTATTTGGCCTAATGGCTTTTACCAGGTGTGGGCTCTGGTACCTGCATATCTATGTATTTCCCCAGTCACCTCCTGTGGGCATCAGAGAAGGGCATAAGTGTGTGTGTGTTTGCGTGTGTATTCTCTGTCTCATGGGCAGAAGTGGGAAGGCTGAAATTCTGCCAGCCCCACCTTGGTGACCTGCCACACCCCCAAAGACCCAGAGCCTGGGCATGGGATCAGCCCTACCTCAGCCTTCCCCAAGGTCGGGGGTGTGGAACATGTCTGGGAAGGAGCTAAAAGTGGCAGGAAGCATCCTGTCTCAAAGCTCTGCCTTGCTGTATTTAGCCCCTGCAGTACCTGCTCATCTACACCAATGTCCTCAGATGGGAGATCCTGGACATGGAGGCCTGTGCTCTGGGCTCCAGTGAGCCTGCTCCTTCCCATCTCCTGTGAGACTCCTCCGCAGGCCTGGCTGGGGCAGCTGTCTTTCTGTCCACTCTCTGCAGAGTGCTAGGCTGCCCTGTGCCTCTCCTTCCCAGAGGCATCCCCAAAATCTGGGAGCAAAGCAGTGGGAGGAACAGGTCTTGGCTAGGGGAGGAAGAGGAATGTCTGCAGGAGGCTCTTTCCTTTTGCCCAGTGCTGGTGCTTTCTGCACCCTTTCCTACAGCTCCTTGCACTCACTGCCTCAGAGGGAACTGTGCTGGCTACTGCTGTGGGCGACATGGCTTGCCCATTCCCAAGCAGTCACTTCTATCAAATCTGGGGACTAAGGTCCCTGGAAAGGGCCTTGTTGGGCTCCTCAGAAGACTTCTGCTAGTGCTTTAAATAACATGTCTCCTATTGCTCATTTCAGAGTCCTTGTGGTTGGACGTGTCCGTGACCTCACAGAGGAGCACTGCTGGCCTCTTTGTACCTGTTCCCTGCTCCTTTAGGTGGGTGCTTCTCCACCAGCCACAACATCCCCGGCTTGTTTTCTGTTTTTGAGGGGCCAGGATGGATCATAGGAAAGTTGTAGGCAGAGGAAGGAAGAGAGTTCTATCTAGGCCTTTGCATATATGAGTCTCCTGTCAGTAGAATCTGCAGCTGGACCCACAGGCATCCAGTGTGGGGTAGGAGTTCAGAGAGGGCTCAAGCAGCAGGGGCTTGCTGGCTCCAGGAAAGGACACCTGAAGTCCGTCCTGTGTGCTTAACATTTCCTTTCCTGATCCCTTCTTCTCTTTCCCCTGCCCTCTGTAGTCTCTCCCTGTCTTTACTGGAACTTTCAGCTCTCAGGCCATAGAGTCCTGGGCCTCATATCCACATTTGGGCTCTGGCTCTGGTTGCTCACTTCCAAATATCAGCAAATAATCCCAAGCAGGGATGGGTCTCTTCTCAGCTCCCCTGCAATAAGCCTGCCCACTGTGGGCCTCTACCTTTCTGTCCAGACCAGCCCAGTATCTGGACCCTTGTACCCAGCTAGGAGAACTCCTGACACCGAGGCAGTACCTCACCCCACTGCAGGGCTACACTTTGCTATTCTATGGCTTGTGCTGTTCTAATTCTTTTGCATTGTAACATTCCCAAATGAGGCCACGTAGGAGACTTAGCCCTTGTTAAACTGATTGACTGATATTCCTCCCCACCTCCCATTTGTCTTCTCTATTTTTTACCAAACCCATGGGGTATTGGGGATCCTGGGGGAGGGACCCAGACAGTGTAACAGCATCATGATGACTCGGGAGTTACGACAGCTCAGTCAACCCAGGATTAAGCCACAGCCTCCTAGACGGTTTCTGCTATTTCCCCACAGTGGTATTGGGCTCTGGGATTACCGCCCACATCTTGGATGCCTGCTGTGTTCTAGTAATTTGGAGGAGTCAGCTTGGACTTGAACTCCTCTATAGGCATGATGTTGACAATGCAGAAGCACTTTTTCTTTCATTTTTAATTAGATTTAAATTAAGATCATATATGGAAAACAAAGATGTTGTATTTTAAAAGGATATCATATACCTACCACACGAAGAAATAGAATACTGCGAATACATAATGCTTCTGAATACCCTTCCTAATCTCATCTCCTCAGAGGCTTCTATTAATCACTCTTGTTGTTTTGCATTGCTTCAGATAACCAGGGTCTTACAAATGCTAGGAAAGCACACCACTGACCTTCTTACTGCCCTTTTGAAAACTCAGGAATTTAGGCATGTGCTACCATGCCTGGTTCTCCCTCTCTCCCTTCCTTTAACAATTATAAACCCAGCAGTGAAAGACAACAGTATCACCATTATTGCATTAGTTTCCAGGAAAAGAAAAACTGAAATGTTAGGGGAGCTAGGTCCATCTGTCTGACCAGGATTCCCTTTGTGCCTTTGGAGTTGACAATGCTGTGGGCCGCTCCTTGCCTGTCTCCCCCTTTTCCTTCCCTTGGCACTGAGCTCTTTGCGAACATTGTTTTCAATTAAATATCTGTGCATTTGTCAATGTATTGTCACTAGAGATGCCTCAAGGTCTGGGTGCTCTGGCCTCACTGCTGAGGGGTAGTGTGACAACACCATGGACCCAAGACGTTCCAGATCCTGGCTCAGAGATTGCAGGCTGCTCAGCCTTGAAAAGTAGCTCGCTCCTCCCAAGGGTGCCCACAGTCCACGTCTCTCCCCTGAGAGGAGTGGGAGGAAATGGAACCCTACTTTTCTCTCCTGTTTCTCCTGACCTGGGGGACCCTCTTGCCTTGGGTCAGAGGGGCCACTGAAGCCCACAATAGTCTTGTGAAGGTTAGGATAAAAGGGAGCCCTGGGAGAAGCAGAGTCTGAAAGCATTTTGCGGAGCCCCGAGGTGTCCCAGAGTCAGCTCAGCTCTGGGCCTAACACTAGTAGTCGAATCAGAGGCAGCAGGCAAAGCCAAAAACAATTTGTCTGATGGAAGAGTTGGGTCAGCTGTTTCCTCAGTAGGGCTTCCTAGAGCAGATACACTTTGTTCCTTCCCTCCCTTCCCCTCAAGTATGAAATCCATCTCTAGATGATAAGTCTATTTATAAATACTGTCCCTGAAAACAGAATTAGTTAATTGGATATGATTCATATTGCTCAAAAGGATGTTCAAAGTATTGTCAAAGGCTATTGCAAAAAAAGTAAGCGGGGGTAGCTTGGTACCAGATACCAAGGATACTAGGCCAGTTAGTCCTGAGCCATGTAGCTTCAAGGAGCAAGACCTGGAATGACAGCAGTTGGGTTTGGGCATTAGAAGACGTTCTAGTTTTCTCTTGGAGGGCACAACAGGTCATGTAGAGACTTGTGACCTGTTGCTATCTGTCACAGAGGTGGACAGGTACCAGCAGCATTAAGATCACCCTTCACTGCACACCCCGTGGAGTGAATCCTTCAGATGAGGACAGTGAAGGCACTGAAAGATAAAATGCCCTATTCCAGAAGCCCTAAAAATGCAGTATCCGAGTCCAGGCACTTAGATTCCAGCCTTGCTCTGCACTGTGCTGGCCGGGTAGGGAAAGCCGTAACATTCAGGGTCTGGCTTGGGCCCTGGGGAGCCACGTGGCTATGCTGAGCTCTCCAGCATGGTGGGTGGTGATGCAGAGGATGCAAGTTGGCCCTGGCACTAGCTCCGGCCCTGGCTGTGACCGATCTGATGTTCTTGCAGGCATGGAGGCAATGGCAGCCAGCACTTCCCTACTTGACCCTAGTGACTTTGACCGCAACGTGCCCCGGATTTGTGGGGTATGTGGAGACCGAGCCACAGGCTTCCACTTCAACGCTATGACCTGTGAAGGTTGCAAAGGCTTCTTCAGGTAGGTCTCCTGCCAGGCTCCCCCTGAACAAAGGAGGGACAAGAGCAAGGCTGTCCCTGGAAGAAGACCCCTGTGCTTTTTGTGTCCCCTTCCTGACCATGTCCTTGGAACTTGTCAATTCCCACATCCACTATGAGCAGTGGGGTCTTGGTGGAGAGTTTCTTATTCCCACTCCTCTTGGCCCAGCTGAGTCTTTGGCCCTCTCAGAAGTCAGTTTCCTAGGAGTTTTTTTTTTTTCATTGGCCCTAACACCAGCCCCCGCACTGACCCATGTCCATGCTTCTGAGTGGGCCTCCTTCCTGATGATGGTGGCAGCTTCTAATCCAACAGTCCAGCCAGGCATGTCTTTGAAAAAGCCCTGGAGCCTGGGTTATGTGCTTGCCTTCCTATCCAACCCAAACTGTTCCTTAGAACAAGGGAGACTGTACCCCTGGATAGGCCACTGTGCCTGATCTGTGTCTACCTCTTCACGTGTGGCTGGCTTATCCCAGCTCTGAATTCCAACGGCAGGTACCCAGGAAGTGCTAAAAGGTACCCACATTCTTATCCTGTTGGTCACAGCTGGTGTCTCTCCCATGAGTCCAGGATTCCAAAAACAAACTGCAGCAAAGTTCTGGGAAGGCCAAAGGATGTTCCTATCTAATGCTGAGGAGGGAGGACAGAAACAGGTTGGACTGAGGCGGGAAAGAAAGACCATGAGAATTTGACATTTGGCATGTATTGGAGAGAGGGAGGGGCCTGGAAGCCGGCAGCCAGAAAAGAGCTAGTAACAATCTGGATTGGAGGTGGGGAAAGAGGAGGACAGGGCTCTAACCATCAAGACTGGCAGGAATAAGTCCAGACCAGAGAGAGGAAGCTGAGGCCAGTCTGGCTCCTGTCTGAACTGATGAGCTTGCTTGGTCTTGACAGCAGAGTGATTCTGAGTGCAGGCCCAACTCTGCTCCAGCCCGGGGCTCCCTACGCACCTGTCCTCTGCCCAGAAGCCAGCAGGCCTAGGGTTCCAAGGCCTTGAGCAGTTGCTGGGCTGTGGAGGTGCTGTGGGTGCTAATTGCCTGTTTGGCCCTGTGCAGTCTGCCTGCCCGCTTGGCTTCCCAGAAGGCTACTCCCCAGCTGGTGGAACCAGACCAGCAGCATCGCTGCCTCTACGTCCTGTTGTGCATCTGTCAGTCCTCAGGGCTGAAGCCCACACTTCCTGGAGGGTGGGCCTTCCAGAGTGGCCCCTGTGTGCCAAGTGCCACTTGGATCCTTTCCTGCTGGGGCCTGAGAGTGAGGGAGCTGCCTTTGGAGAGATAATGGGTGTACATATCGAGGCCTGCTTCCCATCATAAAACCAGCCAGAAACATGTAGGCTGGTACTAGCCATGCCATTAATTAATTATATGCCGTTGCTCAAATTCCTTGACTTCCCTGTGTTCTGGTTAGCTGATTGCCCATGTGTATCACCTCTCTGCTGTAGATAGGTAATCTGAGGATTAATGAGGTACCAGGTATAAAAGGCAGATGGTGCTCTGGACAGGAGTGTGGAGGCGGCTGAGTGGAGGGCGCATGGGGCCTGCCGCGCCCATGGCTGGGTGCTGGAGATGGAGAGCGGACAGGGATTCACACCTGTGCACGTGTGTCACTGCAGATCCACAGTGCAGCAGTGCTGCTTGTGAGCACATGACACTATTATACCCTCCGCCCAGGCCCTCTTGACAGGGTCCCTGGGAATTAGTTATTAACTGATGGCCACCACAGCTCCTGAATGGTCTGTCGTTACAGGCAGCCAGAACTGTTGTCTTGATCAAAAACTACAGTGAATGTTTCGTCTTTTTAAACACATTTTGTATTAGTGAGAGACACCTCGCCATTAATCCCCATCAGAATAGTCCCCTCAATTTGAACACGCATGTCCCATCATTCTGCCACTTTGTGAAGCAGTTCTTGAAGTCCTCTTTCATAACTATTTCTACAAATTGGAATAAAAAATGCAGTGAATATCGCTGCTGAGTGCCAGCCGGTGGAAAGGTTTAAAACATTATGATGTGTCCTCATCCGCTTTATTAATTCAACCTTTTGGCACCGTGTGACTTCTGACTCTTCCCCAAGTGAAAATGACCATGAGAGGTAAATGTTTTGATAGATTCAGGACCTTGAGGCAGGCACAACTATGCCACTTTCTAAGTCACTTGTCAGTGAGGACTTCTAGAAGTGGCTCGGGAAATGGCCAGAATGATGTGTGTCGGAAGCAAGGGGACATGTGAGTGAAATTAATGGCAATGTGTCATTTACTGCAGGAAACTTTTAATGTAAACATTCACTACTCATATCTAGCTCCTCTCATTACTCTCCCTGTCTAGGTGGCTGAGCCAGGGTGCACTTTCTAAAACAGTCAACATCTTTGAATTTTGTTTGTCTATGAGTAAAATTAAATAAACATCCACATATGTCTATCATCTACCCTCATTATTTGGGGGGTCTGAATTTGCTAATTTGCCAACTTGCTAAAATTTACCAACATCAGTACTTGTAGCACTTCTGTGGTCATTTTACAAACATGGGTAAAAAGCCATGAAGAGCTTAAGTCTTCTGATGACCACGTCTCCAACAGAGGTGGCACCAGGAGAAGTTGCACAAGGTGATTGTGTCACCTTCTGTTTCAGCTCTCACACTTAATAAAACAGACACCCTTTCAACAATCTACGTAGGGCTACATTTTTTTGTATTTTTGTGATTTTTATTGGTGATTTCGCTATTGAAAATGGTTCCCAAGCATAGTGCCAACATGCTGTCTAGTGTTCTTCAGCACGAGAAACCCATGCTGTACCTTACGGAGAAGCACATGTATTCAAGAAGCTTCATTCAGACATGATCTATTGGCTGTTGGTTCACTATTAATAAATCAACAAAATACATTGCATATGTATTAAATAAGTTTTCTTTAGAAGAAAAGGCGTATACACCAAGGTTATACATTCATCAGTTGACAAAGATGTTGTCACCAGAGGCTCACAGGAACCTGACCCCATATTTTCTGCAGGAGTATGTTCACTAATCTAGTGTAAGCGATGACTTTACAGATCATAACTACTGTGAATTACAAGACTGACTGTATCTGTATTATTTCTCCTCTTCTCTGTTCCCCACCCCCATTACTCCTCTTTTGTTTCATCCAAATCTTATTTATAAGTTTTCCATTTTGTCCCAGTACAAATAGTTGCTTAAGAATTTTGTTGCCAATTATATTTGTTTGTTTGTGCAATTCTGATCCCAAGAAGTGGTTGGTGTCTTCTCTGTGTGAAGCGAACCTAGAGATGAGTACACCCAGGTCCTTGCCCTTAACCCTCAACTCCATCATGAGCACTCTCAGGAGAGAGTATTGCTTTAGTGCGGTGTCACTGACTGCTTTCCAAGCTCTGTAGACTGTCCATTTAATGTTTGGTTTGGCTCCTAAGATAGTCAAACTAAAGTGCTTCAAGGGCTAGTGATGGCATACTGGCAAGTCCGAGACTTGTAATCAAACCAGAGGGTGAATACGAATGTTGGAAGGTTGGAGCTCAGTTCTCTTGACGTATATTCAGGAACTGGAGGCCGTTGCTGGTCAATTCCTTATACAAGCTATTTCTTGTTATATCAACTTCCTGCTGACCTGGAGCACATAGACATGGTCAAAGAAAAATGATATTTTCAGTGTGAATAAAAGATCTATACAAGTAGGCTTGTAGATGGTCTGACCTTCTTGGCTATATGTTAACCAGAGTATAATTAAGGGCCAAGGAATTGGGGCGGGTCTACTAAAAAATCAGATAGGTAGGTAGGTAGGTAGGTTGATAGATGATTGAATCTCTGGTCATGGAAAGGTTTATCTAAGTTTCAATATAAATGGAAAGGGAATGCTTATAGTCCTAGCACTCTGAGAACCTGCAGCTGGAAGGCCAGTCTGGGCAACTTAGTGACTTCGTGAGATCCTGTCTCCAAATTAAAAAATGAAAAGGGCCAGGGATATAGGTTGGTGGCAATTCCCCAGTTCTCAATCCCCAGTTCTTCAAAAATTAAAAAAAAATAAATCAAAGTTTCATGGTGAAATCTGAGAGACAGTTTATTGTTGAGCAACAGTTTATTGTTGGTCTCTCTATTTTCTTCTTCTTTGTCCATGCCTTCTTAATTATGACATTGTGAAGGTATGTGGTGCAAGCTTCAAGATAATAAACAGAAATGTGGGGTTTTTGCTAGTTGCCAAGGTCCTCAGGGACCTTGTTAATTATGGGCCTTGTAGAGTACAGGGGGAGAAAGGCAGACTGGTGAGGACCCAGGAACATGAGGAATGTTTTGGCTCTCTGGAAGATCAGCCAACTGATATCTGTAGCTCTTCTAAGAATTTTGATGTGAAAAGAAGCAGAGAAATGGAACAGATGCCTGGGGAGCTAAAACTCAGTGTGCTAAAAGACAGTTGAGTCAATAGAAAAGAGGAGAGGAGAGCTGCACAGGGCATTCCATGGACACAAGCTGCAGGAGATAACTTTGTCCAGGTTAGCTGGTTTCCCTCCCTAGATGCTGAAGGCTGTGGAGGAAAGAGGGTTAGTGTGGTTCTCTATGGATGGTCTAGCCCTGTGTGAAAGCTTGCGGAAAGGAGGCCAGCACGTTTATTGGGAAAGGGAAAATCACAGGAGTTAACAGAAAGACAGTTGCATAAAGATGAATGTCTTATATTTCCTTTTGTTTGTTGTTTTATTTCTTTAGGAATTTAGCTCTCTAATCTAGGCTTGTTCACATGAAATCACTCTCAGCATTTTCTGGGGATATGCTCCATGCTTAGACAATAGAGGGCCAGTGGAGCTTTAGAAGTTACTCCACTCTTCTAAACCATCCATGTCTGGACTGCTGTATCCATGACTTCTTTGCCCTCAGACAAAGGAGGAGCCCTCAGACAGCCTTTGCTTCCTGCTCCTGGCTTTAGGGAGGCTTCTAGTTCTGATTAAGAGAGAGCAGATTCTTATGAAGACCTTAGTATTAAAAAGAGCAGAATCTTTGGAGTCAAACAGATCTTGGTTATAGTCCCAGCTTTTACACCGATTAACTGTGGGAGGGACTTTAAGCAAGTTATTTAACTTTCCTGTACCTTTTTGTACAGCTTGTAAAATAGGCATGCCTACTCCCAAAGTTTATTTAAAAGCAATGGAAACAATCTTTCTCCAATATATGCCAAATAATAATTTCTCTTTGTACCCGCTTCCACTGAGGTCTCAGTGACATTCAGTTACAGACAGAGCCCACAGGAAACACTTGACCCCACACTGCTGGCAGTGGCCACCCACTTGAGGAGGGACCTTCCTGCCCCATCTCTGAGGCCCCAGCCCATGGCACTTGATGCTTTTGTAAGCATCTTGTCTCTCATGTTTTGATGAACTGGTCTCTGGCATGAGACTCATCAATGTCCTCTCTCACCCCTGGCTTTCTAGAAACTGTGTTTATATTTAGCTGGTTGCCCCACCTCTGTCCCCTTTCCTGAGCTGGGGTATAATTGCCAACCATCTGGAGGATGACAGGGTTGAGATCCCAGAGAGCCGCTGAGACCTTGTTCTCGTGTGGAATTCCAAAGCTCTTGTTTCTCAAAACCAAACCAGCTCATAGGCAATTAGAACTGGGAGGAAAGTGGGGTAGGGTGTGGATCTTCAGGACAAAACACTGAGCCACAGCTGAGCGGTCTGGCTGCCCTGACTCCTTGAGGGCAGAGATAGGTAACAGCCACATGTGTGGAAGCACCCTCAGAAGGCAGCAGATCAGGGAATACGTTGGCCCAAAGGCAATAGGACCTCTTTGCAGCCCAGCAAACATTCTTACTGCGCCACAAACACCTGGAAGGCCAGTCCAGGGAGCTGGGTCTGGTCCTAGGAAGAACACAGGACTGGCTGTTGGAGCCAGTGAATGAACTTTCCATGCCCCGAACACTGACCCCACTCCAGAGCAGGACATCCAATCTCCGTCCGCCCGACCGCCAGCTCTTTTGCTCTGTTACTGTTTTGAGAGTAGTAAAGAAGAACCACTTGCTGTATTTGAAAATATAATAAAGCTCCATAAATGTATAGGATGCTTCAGTATTGCTCCAATAATGTGAAGACATGTAGTAGAGTCAGGGGCCTGATGGACGATGCATGCAGAGGCCAAGGGCACAGGCTGTGATCTTCCTCTGTTCCAGTCCCCGCTGTCAGCTCAAGTGCTGGGCTCCAGAAAAAGCTCCAGCCTCCCTATTCTTCTCTTCTTTCTCTGTCTCATTTTCCTCCTCTCCCTTCCCTTCTCCTTTGTGGTACTCTTGGGCTTTCATAGTACAACTCGTAAACCGGAAGCACAAAACTGGGGTGTTTCCCCCACATGTTTTCTTTTAACCCACCTCTGCATTTCTAGTCTTCTGCCTCCCAGCCTCAGTAGGCTCCGTTCCTGCTCTCGGGGAAGGTTGTACTGAGTGGCTCTTTGCAACATTTGGTGTGTGGAAGCCTAAAATTGAGCTTCAGATTTAAAACATGAGAAAGATTTCAAAAACAAATAAAAGACAGCGAAGCACTAAAATATTTTTCCTGACCACCTGTGGTTGTAGGGCTTTCCCCCTCCCGTGAGGATGAGAGGCAGGGCCCCTAAATCCCAAGGAAAGATGGGTGGGTCCCCGAAGGCCACAGTCCCCCTCCTGGAATCTCAGGACACTCTAGGCCCCAGAAGGGACTGGCTGAAGGTTTGGCTAGTGTCCCTGGCTGTGTTCCTCTTGGTGCCATGGCCTGGACACTTCACAGGAAGAGTCAGAGCCAGACAGGACAGTGGGTGGGTCTGAGGATAGAACAGCCCCTCAGATGTGGGCAAGACGCCTGGTTATAAAAAAAAAGCAGTGGGGGATGAGAGTTTGCTCTGAATTAGAAACTTCTGGTCTTGAGTAGGTGTAGAGAGCTGTGGTAGTAGGTGAAGCCTTGAGAACCACAGAGAAGGAGGAAAAAGCATCAGCGTACACAGCTTTCATCCTGGGATACATAGATTGGCCTGAAATAGTGACAGCATCTCTCCGGGGTAACCCTAACAGTTCCTGGGTGCTTTCATATTTTGCTGTCCCTCCAACAAGGACAACCCTGCAGCAGAGTTACAGGGGTGAAAGCGAAAGGCTTCTTGCTTCCTTCAGTCTCTCTCCAGGCTGGGATGGACTTGCTCCAATGGTCTGGCACTGCTCTACCTCCCCACATCCCAGGTCTGCTGCTGGCCCCTTGAGTAAGGAGGGTTATCACAGAAAGGTACCAGAGCCAAGATCCAAAACTAGCAGTGGCTTCTTGCCCTGGCACTGGGTCCCTCTTGGCTTTGAGCTGCCCGAGACTATTTGCCAAGAGCCTCAACTTCCCTGAGGTTCCAGGGTTGAAAGCTATCCAGTAAGGTGAAAGCTGAGCCTGGGACCCCAAGGCTTCCAGATTTGAAGCCCTTCACTTCTTGCTAGACAGCCTGATTGATAAGTTCCTTAAATTACGCAGTCCCATCTGTTAGACAAAGGGCTCACACTGAGCATCCCATGAGGTCACTGTGAGTGTAAGTCTCTGACTGCCTGTGGCTATACAGAGCCTCACTCTAGTCTCTGGTCCCCATCTGAGCTTGTCAACTGTTTTCCTAGACCTCATGTGTGTCCCACTGATCTCAAGCAGTGAGTGATTTTTTACGAAGGATCATAGCTAGCATCCATCCAGCAACTAGCTAGGATGCCATCACTCACTCTTCTCTGGAAAGAGAAGCTGTGGGCTAGGCCTTTGCCCCTGAGGCTTGAGCAGCTCCACTCAGTAGCCCCTTGGAAGATGCTGCCACTCTTGCTGCAAGGGATGCTGCCGCAATCTTAGGCTGTTGTTTTTCCCAGCTAGCTCTTGCTACCTTCCCTAAGGAGAAAAGTGGGGCGTACCCTTGGTGGGGCTGAGAGGAGTACCAGGAGCTTCTAGAAGGGGATGGTGAGAAACTAGAAAGGATCCATCTGTTATGCAGCATTCCAAAGTCCACAGAACAGTGGAAGAGAATGAGCAATTAGGAAAATGAGCTCTCAAATGTACATGTGCATGCAAGGGAGTGCAATTGTGCACTGTACACACACTTATGTATACGCACAGAGTGTTAGAATGGGACAGCTTGTGGGGGTTCTTCCTACCTAAAACACTCTTCTTTATACTTTTATCTTTTTTATTAGTGCAGTGCTTGCAGTTTATAGTCACCTTGGCAGAAAGCCAAGGACTCCCACCTGCTCACCTGGCCTTTTCTCTTTCTAGACATCCAGAGAAATGGTTTGGGCTGTGAGCATTTTTTCCCTTCTCTCTTTACCTGTGCACATGCCTATCCTTGAATCACAGGGATTCCAGTCACACGTCTCTGGACTCTGGAGCACAGAAAGCTGAGACTAGCATGCTTGCCTCTAATTAAAAACCATTATGAGGGCTGCTCTACAGATTTCAGTATTTTGTAAAGTTTTACTAAGAAAATTCACTTGTGCATTTCCTGTGTAATTTTTAAAAAAGGGAGGGGAACAGAGGACTGTAAAAGGGAGTAAAAGCAATGATGGGAGCCAAGTAGGCTCTAAAGGAAAAAGGAGGGTCTGGTTGGTGCACACAGCCCAGGGCAGGGTGCTGGGGGTCATTCCAAGCAGCCCAGGGGCTGGGATGGGTCCCATATCCTCTGGGGTAGAAATAGAGATCGGGGACCTATTCATAGCCAGGGCTGAAGGTGCCTGTAAGTCAGTGACCCAGTGCAGGGTGTGTGTTCTCTCGGCAGGCGGAGCATGAAGCGGAAGGCACTGTTCACTTGTCCCTTCAACGGGGATTGTCGCATCACCAAAGACAACAGGCGCCACTGCCAGGCCTGCCGGCTCAAGCGCTGTGTGGAAATCGGCATGATGAAGGAGTGTGAGTGACCAGGGAGGGGCCCAGCAGAGGCTGGGCTGGACTGGGGTCCCTGGAAGGCTTTGGCCACCGCCACACAAATCTCACCAGAGAGGTGTCCTCTGCTCTGTGGCTGTGCACATCCCACACCAGGAGCTTGGGTGGGAGCAGGACCGCAGCCAGGGGCGAGGCTGCGGAACTGCTGGGTTCTGGCTAGGACTTGTATTTGTGCCTCAGAGACTCAGAAAGACCCCTCAGAGTGAGGCCTAAGCAAAGGGGGGACAGGATGGCCCCGGCCCTTGTGACTCTTTCCTCCAGCATTGTCATACCTCACTATTTGTTCCCTGGGAGGTCTTTCCTGGAGGAAAGGGTGATACTCAAGACTCCAGTGATCTGAGGACTGGTGCCCAGGGAAACTAGGGGGAAAGACCCTGTGAAAGGAATCACCAAGGGCGTAGGACAAGACTTGGGTTCTGAGGCTTGTCCTGCTTGGAGAAGAGGAGTGGTAGCAGATTTACAGGGATGTTCTGACCCACCACTAAAGACAAACTCTGGACTTTGCATCTGAGCTCCAGTACAGTTATTTGGTGACCAGAGTAACCACTGATTGCAGCAGGCACTGGAAGGGGCTCACCAGCCCTCCATGGGTAGGAGCAAGGGGTCTGGGTCAGGTCTGCAGAAGGAGCCCTCTGCACATTCATCTTTGCCCAGCAGTGTGCATCTGAATGCCTTCCTTGCTATGGGGCTGTGTTAGGAAAAGTAGGGTGAGGACAGATGTCAGAAAGATATGTCAGGAAGAGGGGGAAAGTCATAGGAAAGGGTTTAGGGGATGGGAAATTTCTTCCTTAATGGAAATAAATTTACTACTGCTGGGAACAGAGGCAGAGTCAGGGTCCTCATCTTGGGTCTCCTCCTGGTCTTGACCAAGGCTCCTCACTCCTGATTCCGGCTCCCCAACCGGCATTGGCAGCCCTGGGAGGAGTTCCCACTCCCACTGGAGTGTGCAGGCCTAGGCATGCTGATTAATTCCACCCAGGCCCTGCCCATCCCAACCCCTGTGTTTATGCTGGAGAGAGTGGGAGTATGGAGGCCCAAAATCTGGGTACCCTGTGAGCTATGCACACATTCTCAGGGGGCCTGCTCTGTGGGATATGCTGGGTGGGTACCTGTACCTCTAAGGCTTCACCCATCCAAGAATGGCAAAGGCTCCCCATGTGGGTCAGTAAGTGTTGAGTTAGGGCCACCTTTGTTGATGCCCCAGATGTTTCTGGCCTCTGTCTCTGGGGGTGGGGGCGGGGAGGTGTCCTATTAACCAGAAAGAGGACAAACAGAAATCATCTGAGGCCCAGAAAAGGAAAACATCAGAACTGTGGCCAGAGAGCAATTTGGTGGCCAACCTGAGACTAGAATACAACTCATGTCCCCCTCTTAGGCCCCTCTAGGTCCCCGTGAGGAGCAAGATATCCATAGTGAGGGGAATACCACACCACATGGTGGGACTATCTGTCCAGAAGTCAACCCCACCCCCAGATCAGCACGATGCCTCAGACTGATCCTACACCCATAGAATCCCCTTCCCACCTGGCTCTCATGACCTCAGTGCAGGGAGCTGTGCTGAGCTGTGGATGGACTGGCCTCTCTGGGTCCAGAGCTCCAATTAGAATAAACTGTGGGGCCAGCAAGAGGCCACTCCTTTCTACCACCCTGAAGGCTGGTTGTCCCAGAAAAGATGAAGGCCCTGCCTGGGTTAGCCCAGCCTGTGTGTTGGGCCTGGGAGGGCTGCTCACTGATCCCTGGTGCTGGCCCTTGTCCCCAAGGCCTAGCCTCCCCTGAAAGGATCAAGTGTCTCAACATTTGTAAAACCACAGGAAGGGATCTAAAAACCCAGGGTTCAGGGAGAGGAAGGGAAAGTGGGTGAGCAGTATTTGTTGACCACATGCTATGTGCCAGATACCGTGTCAAGCCCATGCATTTACTTCCTAAATTCTTACAAAATTTAAGAATTACAAAATTCTTACAAAATTCCCTAAATCTATAAATAACTCCTTTTTTTAAAGCTAAGAAAGCTGGAAGGAATTAAAGCATAAGGTCTTGGAGCTAATAAAACGCCAGTGTTCTGTGTAACATAGGCATTTCTGCTTCTGAGGCCAGACTCGTGGGCTCTACCCCAGAATGACCCCTGTGGGTCAGACTCACTTCACTGTACCTTTTCAGGCACTGCCTGGGGCCGTAAGGGATAAATTAAAGAGACTTTGTCCCTACAAAGACTCTTTGTTTGAATCAAGACATTTCGTGGTTGAGTGATTCCATCTTGCTTATATGATATCCATCCTGCACAGAATCGCCTATGAGGTTACTTTAATGTGTTTACACACGTCTTTTCTCTCCAGTGTTAACACCTGACACCCAGAAGGTGATCAATAAATACATGTGGAATGAATGAAAATCAGCTCCCCACTGTGCTTCTTCTATCTCTAGGTCGTCACTGGTCTAGAGATCAGTGAGATTATCCCAAACCTTATATTATCTGTGTCGTTCATATGGGAAAAATGTTATGCCCTCTTCCTTGCTGTCCTTAGATCACCACTGGCATCTTGAAATGTTTTTAAATTATTCATCTCTATAGATCTTCCCTTCCCAACTTGATTCTAGACTTCATTAGACAGGGAATATTTCTTGAGTAGGAATAACTTGGGCAAAGCCATTTCCTACCCAACAAGGAGCTTAGAAAGAAGTCAGGGAAGCTGCTGAGCAGTGGACTGCTTTCATGGTCATCAGATACTGTACCAAAGTTTACATGCTCCATTCAGCTGGGAGCCCGTCAAACTCTTAGCTCTTGCTGGGGGCAAAGGGTTACATGTGCCTGCAATCCCAGTGACTTGGGAGGCTGGGGCAGGAAGATCGAAAGTTTGAGGCCAGCCTGGGTAATGTAGTAACTTAGTGAGACTCTGTCTCAAAATAAAAAATAAAAAGGGCTAGGATACTTTGGTACTGGCTTCAATCCTCAGCACTCAAAGTACAAAACAATAAATCTGCTTAGCTCATTCTGTCAGTGACTCTTCACTTCAAAACATGTGTCTTTCTTACATGATATTTTATCAGTTATTTGTGAAAATAATAAAAAATTTCCTCTGAGATTAACCCCTTTTTACCCACATTATTTCATAAATCACAGCAGCATTTGTATATTCATGAAGCTTGGGGCTTATTGAGTCTCTACACAATGCAACCTGTGGGAGGCTTTCAGTTTCCATCTCCAGAGTCGCCCGCACCCCCTGGACCTGGACTGCTGCTGCAGGGGAGTGATTGGGACGAAGAGTGTTGTAAGTTTAACTGTGAATCTTCTGTCTTCTTAAAGTGAATCATGGACAAGCCTTGCTCCTTTATTAAATTCTCCTACTCCTCTGATGGACTGCACCACCCTGGGTGTCAGGTCCCATGGCTGAGGGCCAGAGTCCTAGGCACAGTCTCAACTAGATTAATCAGAGCGAGTTTGGAGTTGTGGTTACAGCCGCTGACTCCAGAACCAGACTGTGAGGTCTGAATACCAGTGCTACCATTTGTTAGCTGTGTGACTTTGAGCATGACCTCAGTTCCTTGTCTGTGAAGTGGAATTAACAGCCCCTATCTTAAAAGGTTATTGCCAGGACTAGATATATGTGAGTCAATGTACCAAAAAAGCACTTGAAAGTGTGTCCAGTACATTTTTTAAAACTGTACATTATCCATTATTATTATCTTTTTAATGCAACAAACTTGGTCACCGGGATCTTTGTCTCCTAACAGATCAGAGGCCCCTCATAAGGAGAGGAAGGCACACTTGTAGAGACAGGCAATAATAAGAGATAATCTGTAGCATTCCAGAGAGACACAGCCTGAAAACAGTGGCAAGCAGAACAGGGACTCCAAAGCTATGACTCTGAACTCATGATCTGGTCCTGCAAAGTTCAATGGTTATTCAGAATGATGCCTCTAAGTCATGGAGGAAAGGTTATGGGATGTTACAGGTGTCGCATTATATGATAGTCTGCCTTGCAAATATTTTGGTTGCAATTATTTAAGTAAAAGAAGTAAGCTTCACTCAGCTCCCCAGTGGCCCGGCGTGTTGTATGTCATACCCAGTGTTACAGGGTGCAGGTGGCTTGGGGTACTCCTCACTGTCCTTCCCTGAACCCAGGAAAATGGCTTGCACAATGGGTGCAAGCTGTGTTGCTGTGTTTAACACTCTATGCAGAATACCCAGCAAAGGTGCGGGCCACAAAGTCCCCTGGGCTGCCTCTGTGGGGGAGACACAAGAATTAAAAGTCAGGGCCCCTGCCCTTAAGTATTCTATGGTATAGTGAAGGAGATCTTGAACTTCTTAGGATCTCTTTGTAAGCATTTACTAAAACCTGTTCTAACCATGAGTCTTGAAGAATAAAAGGCGATTAGGTGCCATTATGTGCAGGAAAGACCATGTGAGGCACAAGAAATGAGAGCTCAGTGCAGATCTGGGCAGTGGAGAAAGGCTGTGTGGCAGAAGGGGATGGCTGGGCGCTGAGGGAGGGATGGGGCCTCACAGCCGTCAGAGGAGAAGGGCCCCAGCCATTCAGGCATGCAGCACAGGTGGAAAGGCAGTGGCGAATAGGAGCAGGTCACGCTCACGGGCCAACTGTGCCAGCCAGACTGGAGCAGAAGCTGTGCCCAGAGTGTGGGGAATGAGACTGGGAAATTAGGAAGAAGCCAAATCATGTGCAGCCTTGACTTCGGCTTGGACGTGGTCAGCAGTACAGAGTCAGCAAAAGTTCCTAAGTAGGAGAATAGCAACATCATGGAACACAGGAGGACACCAGAGCCCAGTTAGCTGAGCGACGTTCCTGTAGATGCTCGTGGTCTCACTGGAAGAGACTGGCCACCCTTAGAAGAGCAGAAAGGATCAGATGCCTAATCTGGGCTTTGCCAGGTCAGGGCCTCCTCCCCTTTCTTTGCCTGAGATGTACCCTGCTCCTTTCTCTCCACCCTGCTTGACCTCTTAGGGTCTGAGCAGACACCCTCTGTGGGAGGAGGCATGGCAGCTCTTTGGGCAGGCTCGTCATTCACCGTGGCTTGGCCTCCTCCTAGCCCTCCTCTTGGTATGTGCCTTACCAAGGCTCCTCCTTCCTGCTGTACTGTGGCTTGGTTGTCCATCCCCCGAAACACACACACACACATATATACACACACACACACATACTGTAGGCTCTTCTTCCCTGCTACTAACTTCTCTGGGCCTCATCCTACCAAGGGGCCTGAGCCAACCCACTTTTGTTGAAGCCTGGAACTCACCCACTCTGGGCTTCTGGTTCCTTTCCCTGCTCTTGTGAAATGCCCCAGTTCTGTGGGCAGATACCCTGGCAGCTCCAACACAGATCAAGTAGCTACAGGCTGAGGGCCCCAGTGCCCACTCCTGCTGTCAGCGCTCTGCAAGCCCTGGCCAGGAGGTCTGTTTGCCCAGCTGCCATGCCAGGCATCTCTGCTCCACCCCATCCTCCCAGGCAGCTACTCCGGAGCAGAAGCCCCTGCACAGCCTTGCACAGGTAGCAGAGGGTTTCCCATAGTTGTACACCAGCTAGCAACTTAGAGAGGGCATCCCAGATTAGAGCCATAGGTGGCAGACTTCAGGCACTCCAAGAGGACTCAAAGCTTCTGGGAGCTGAAATTTCAAGACTGGACAGGCCAGAGGAGGGGTTATTTGGGTTAACCCAAGAGGCGAAGTCTTCTGTGTTGGCCAGAGATACCTGGGTTCCATGTGGGAAAATTGACATCACTGCAGCACCACAGTGACAGTTTCCCTTTCACTATTGCTTTACCTTGATGTCTCCTTCAGGATGATGGATCGAGGTGAGGCCCCGGAGAAGGGAGGGAGCCAGGGTTTAGTGAGCATCTGTGCTCTGCCGGGCACCATCCAGTTCTCATAACAGTCTGTCCTTTGAAGGAGGTGTTATTGTGCCCCCCTTACACATGCACACACACACACACACACACACAGACATTCACACACAGACATGCATGCACACACATGTGCACAAATATTTTATAGAGGAAGAAACAAGAAATGTACCTTAGAAGAGATGGTATGATGCAAATTTCTCATTTTATTAATGAGACAATGAACACTTAAAAAGAGGTTTGAACAGCTAGCCCTATGTCCCACAATTTATTTATTTATTTGTTGGTTTGTTTGTTTTTGTAGTACTGGGGATTGAAAGGAGGGTCTTGCACATGCTAGGCAAGCGTTCTACATCCCCAATCCCTTTTTATTTTATCTTGAGACTAAGTTGACCAGACTAGGCTCAAACTTGGTATTCTCCTGCCTCAGTCTCCTAAGTGGCTAGTATTACAAGTGTTCACCACCACACCTGGCCCCACAACTCATCCTTGAGAAAACAGAGTCTAATGTCAGACCACTCTGCCTCTCAAATCCTCTTTTTTCCTTTCACAGGCACCAAACAAAAGGCAGTTTTTCTCCACATGTGTGTGGAGTCACCCACTGTAGCAGGGCCCCTAGGGACCCAAAGGCAAGACAGCCAGCCCCTGCCATGATAGTCTGGTCAAACTGGAGTTAGGTATCCTGGAGGCGCTGCCAGCCAGCTCTCCCACTCCCCTCCCTCCCCTGCAGTCATCCTGACGGATGAAGAGGTGCAGCGCAAGCGGGAGATGATCCTGAAGCGGAAGGAGGAGGAGGCCTTGAAGGACAGTCTGCGGCCCAAGCTGTCCGAGGAGCAGCAGCACATCATCACCATCCTGCTAGAGGCCCACCACAAGACCTACGACCCCACCTACGCCGACTTCACCCAGTTCCGGGTACATAGCCTGCTGGCAAGGAGAGTGAGCAGGGAGCAGCAGGAGTGTGGGGACGGAGAGCTGGGGACCTATGACACTGGGAAGCCTCCCCTTCATTTGCTCTTACTCCAAGCCGCTCCCTTTAGAGGTCAAGGCCAAGGCAGGAAGGTGGCCGAAAGAATGGGGGCCTCTGAGACCCTATCTTTTCCTCCCAGCCTCCAGTCCGAGACGATGGAGAGAGCTGTCATCCACTCAGCATCTCCAGGAACTCTTCCTCATCTGGCTCAGATCTCTACACTGCCTCTCTAGGTAAGCAGGGGTCCTGCCACCACAGAGTGAGGGGAACCACCCCACTGCCCTCAGGCTGCCCTGCCAGTGGAACTCCCTGACGTGAGCATAAACCTGTGCCTGGCAGTGTTGCTCAGAAAAGCGCTCTCTGCCAGAAGGGGACTGACTTGCACAACGCTGTGCTGGGGACTAGGCCTCTCAGGGATGCCAGTGCTGCAGGCCCAGCCTCCCAAGCCCAGCTCCTGCTAAGCCAGGCTCTGGCTCCCTGCCTGGGGGCACCTGCTTCCTTTCCATGACCCTGGACACTTTGGGAGGTGGTCTGGAGTGGGAAGGAGAATGTGTAGGTCCATTGCCCAACCCTGGGGGACTGCCATGTCCCTGGAGGACCTGCCTCCTCCAGCTCACCTAAGAGTCTGGGATACATGGTGCTTTTCTTCTTATGAACCTTTCATATCTTCCTCTTCATCCTACCTCACCCTCCCTCTGCTATCATCCTTTCCCCTGCGATCTCTCTTCCAACCCTGGTATCCTCCTGCCTGACAGCAGGGTAGAAACCCTTCCTCCCCTCCCCGGCAGCTACAGCCCTCAGTTATGGTGCCTCTAGACTCAGCGACCAGTCTGTGCCTGGATCCAGAGAGGAAGCAGGGGACCTGGCCAGCGGAACGGAGATAGCAGTGAGAGCAGATGTGTCTCCCACCCGGAAGTGACAGGAGGAAGGTGGCACGGGCAGGAAGCACTGAGTGCTGGATCAACTGACAGACCTGCCAGATTCTCTCACCTTATAGGGACCCTGCCACGTGTAAATTCTGCTTTTTTCACCAACTGGCAGATAGATCTATACCAGAGAGGGTCAATTTGTATAAGATACACATTGCTCTCTACTTCCCTCTTAAATAATCATCCCATAGGTTAATTGATCAACTAAAGTCTCATAGGTTAATTGCTTACCCCACCAGTGGTACATTCAGTATAGCATATTTTTACTTAAAATTTCAAACAAGTTAAAATTTATAATTAAAATGAAAGTATACATTGGTACTACACATTCATCACAGCAAATTTAAAATACCTGTAAGTTTATTATATAATCTTTAATCTTACTGCCTAAAGAAAACCTACTATTAACACTATGACATTAGTTCATCTTTTTATAACATATGTACATTCAAAAGTGGATTTGTGCTGTGTAGTCCGGTGACTTGCTTTTTTTCTCTTAATAATAAACTGTTCCATATTTCCATGTCATTTAGTATTCATCTAGAATAGTTTTTAAAGGCTGCATAATATTCTGAGATATAGTAACACATATGAATCCCCTATCACTGACTCCCTAAATTGTTTTTCAGCTTTTTAGTAAGATAATACTTTGCTTGCTGATAAACGTATACACTTATTCCAAATTTTTTCCTTATGATGAATTCATGGAAGTGAGATTACTGGTCAAAGATTAGATCTAAGTGTGGACTTTTGACCCCTCAGTTCAAATGGCTTTTTAGATTACCGACTCAGATTTACAACTTCTGCAACATCCAAGGACTGCATAAGTAGTGCCTGATTCCCTGTATTTTTACAAATACTGGCATCAACATTTAACCATATTTGTTTTCAGTTCAGGCGAAGCATGTAGGTGTTCTTTTTTGAAGTATTTGATCACAAGGAAGTAGGCACAACAGAGGGACTACAAAAGTGTGGCTCCAGGAAGACGTGTTTCTCTTAGAGTCTCTGGCTTTTTTATTTTAACTGCTTCACGCTGCTGAAACAAGAGACAGAGCAAGACCCAGAGGGAAGCTGAAGTGACCTTTAATGGGAGGCTGTCGCTGTGGGCCCTGGGGATGGCTCTGCCGTTAGGACAGACACGCTCAGCCCTCGCAGGGGCAGGCAGGAGAGGCCTGGCCTACACATCCTCAAACGGTCCCTTCTCTCGCTTCATCCTCCCCAGACATGGTGGAGACTTCCAGCTTCTCCCACCTGGACTTGAATGAAGAAGAAGACTCAGATGACCCTTCTGTGACTCTGGACTTGTCCCAGCTCTCCATGCTGCCTCATTTGGCTGACCTGGTCAGTTATAGCATCCAGAAGGTCATCGGCTTTGCCAAAATGATCCCAGGATTTAGGTAAGAAGCTTCTTCAATGTCTTGGAACAGTCAGAATCCTATACTGAGCTAGAGAAAAGCTTGGAAAATGAATCTGTTGCTTCCCCCAGAGACTCAGGCCCTAGCCCACATCTCTAAGTCAGACCCTCCAGGAGAGGCCTGAGAGTCGAGCGTTAGCCCATCCAGCATTACTCTGCGAGCTACGCTGGAGAGCTATTCCATCTCCACACTTTGGATGATATATTGATACATAGTTTCATGTTTATTTTTGTATATTTTTAATCTTCATTCTTTCCAGAAGCTCACTGGGTACATTGCCATTAAAGTATACACACAGTGTGGTTGAGAATAAAAAGAAATAAATCAATATCAAACTATATTATCATCATTTCAAGCGATAGCAATAGCTGCAGTTGTAGCAGAAACGACAGAATATTTTCTAGAAATGCTCGGGCTGGGTGCTAGGATCTGGGAGCTGAAAAATGACAATGTCAGCTAGCTCTGGATAAGTTGATGAAGTGCCATTTGCTGTTTAGTGGCCCTCTCTGCTGTGTAGAGAAGCCACAGTTATTGCCTAAATAACCACTTTGCCAGCCAGATGATGGTAATTCACAGCATTACTCTACGAGCTAGCCTAGAAGATGATGGAATGAAAGCATTTCAGTTTGTTTCTACCCTGACAACTGTGTGCTATTTTTTGTCTCTCCCCAAGGCAAATATCTGAAATTCTCTAAAGCTTTTCCATGAAATTAGTGCAAAAATTATGGTGAAGAGAGAGACAGCAAATGCATTGAAACATGTTTGATCACAGGAATGGAGTAAGGGCAGCCTGGCAGTGAGGTTAAGGAGAGGGACTGAGTCTCCAGGTTGGGCAAGGCCTGGTTCTACCCTCTGGAGCCTTCTCTTGGAACTGACAATACATTCCCTTGAGCACATTTCCAGCTCCCTCCTCCACACTTGGTGTTACTGTTTGCAGATGTTTGTCTTCCAAATTCTTGTTTTGTGTAAATAGCTAGAGAAAAAACACTTCAAAGTATGGAAGTCTACACTGTAGCACCTGGCTGCAGCTTGATTCTGAGGGGTAGTGTCTATGCAGGAGTCCTTTTGCCTTGCTCTGGTGGGGAGTTGGACAGTTGGCCCATGGGGCCTCTCCAGGTGCAAAGGAGAGGATCGCACATGCGGGTAAATGGTCCTGAGAGGAAAGTTCCTCGTTAAACCAGATCATTGCAGCTCTGCTCCCTTCACAAAGGCCCCTGGTCTCCGTTTTTCTCCTGTGCCCTTGACCCCTGTCTCTTACCTTACCTTCAGTTTCTCTCCCCAAGACTGAGCTGAAGTTCTTTCCTTTCAAGCCTCATTTCCCCCCGGATTCCTAGTCTTGCCCAGAAGTAGCAGGCAAACTGAGGTACCTGTGGGCAGGTGATGGAGCTGCCCACCTATTGGCTCAAGTGGGTTAAAATGATCCTAAACAGCCCTAGATTGGTTTCTCTCTCTCTCTCTCTGGCTTGACTTCAGAAATCTTAGAGCAGATAAAAACCAAGCAGATCTTGACAAGTGGTCTTGGGGGACACCGATGTGGACACTGTGCCCACATTGAGGGGATGCTGAACCCAGATGGGAGCCAGAGCCAGGGGCTTTCTGGTTCTGCTGGTTTCCACACTGAGGAGTTCTGTTTACCCAAGAAGTGTAAGAACGGTGGCTGTGTCCCTGGTGCCTTTGATCTTGCTGCCTCTCAGGTGGCAGCAGCAGGTATGAGGAAGGCGGGATGAGACTTCTGTGTGGGAGCCAGACTGGATGGGCTGTTCTGGGCGTGGACTGCACTGCGGCCCGGCCTTGGCCCCACTCCCTCCTCCCACCACCTATCCTTCACCCTCTCAGCTCACCGTGCCAACCTCCCTCTTTGCTGGTGCTGCAAGACAAATGCATAAAGACTTGGTGTCAGGAGCACTTGGGAGAATGACAAAGAGCACCCCAACTGCCACCTGAGGCAACAGAAGACCAGACCACCCCAGCTGGGGCCCGACTCTGTGGATGAAAGGCCCAGCCTTGTTGCCACTGCGATTTCCAGGGACCTGGGGGCCGCCGAGCTTCCTTCATCTCATTCTCTGTCTCCACATCCCTTTGTTTATTCCTCCATCCCACCGACCGACCAATGGCTTTCTTACACAAACTGAAAGGGATACAAGTCGACTAGGATACAGTCGCTAGGCTGCAGGGATTCAGTGTCGATGGAAGGGATAAACGTGAGCACAGAGCAGCAGAGAGGAGAGGAGACTGGCTAGGCCCCGTGGGAACCCCTGGTCAGGAGGGGCCTGACTCCGCCCGGGAGGTGGGAAGGATAAGAAGGACGCATCTCCACCCATGAATGTGAGGTTGCTGTGGGTTTGGCTCATGGAGCAGCATGTCTGCCTCACAGTAAGCAGTGATCTCACTGAACTCTCACTGGGCACCAAGGGCGCAGGATATTTGTTTACTTCTAGTCCTCCATTCTGGGTCAGGCACTGAACACAGGGCTGTGTGCAAAGATATTTCCCACAAAATCACCTATGCGAGGAAAAATTAGAAAGTTGGGCATGATGACACACACCTGCAATCCTACCACTTGGGAGGCTGAGGCAGGGGGTTCGCTGCAAGTTTGAGTCCACCCTGGGCTACATAGTGAGTTCAAGGCTAGCCTTAACTACATAGTGAGACCCTGTCTGAAATCTCCTTCCAAAAAAAAAGAGCAAACATGAGAAGTAACCAAACTATCCTAAAATAGGTAAATGGGAGATTGATTCAATAATCTGTAGTTCACTGATATAACATTATACATATTTAATGTTTTGGGAGTTTTTTTGCGTAGCTGGGGATTGAACTCAGGACCTTGCGCTTGCCAGGCAGGCACTGACACTACTGAGATAAATCTGCAGCCCAACATTAAACATACTTAGAACAAGGAAAAAGAATTATTAGTGAGCCATGCATGTGGCATATACCAGAAATCCCAGTGACTTAGGAGGCTGTGGCAGGAGGATCACAAGTTTGAGGCCGGCTGGGGAAACTCCAAGAGACTCTGTCTCAAAATTTAAAAAAAAACAACAAAAAACAAAAAGTAAAAATGGGCTGGGATAGTCCAGTGGTAGATTTCAATCCCCAATGCAAAAAAAAAAAAAAAATTAATGTTATGGAAAAGTGTGATACAGAATTAGTATAAACTCAATTGTTAGAAAAAGTTCCTATTTGCATAGAAAAAAGATAGGAAGGAAATACACCGAAATGTTAATTATGGTTATAAGCATTTTTATTTGCTTTTATATTTTCCAAAGATTTAATAATAAATGTTTTACTTATGGAGTTTGAACCAAAATGAAAGTGGTGTTCGTTTTTATTCTTTAAACGTGGCCCTAGCACCAAGAAAAAAGTGACAAGGACGGTGAGAAGGTTCAATCCTATCTATCCTGAAAAAAATGAAAAAAAGGACACAGTAGTTTTGTTTTTAATAATCAAAACCCATTGGTCACGATTAAAGGGAAGTCTCTTGGCTAACAGAGGAGCCTGACTCCGGGCGCCTTCAGAGTACAAAAGTACAACAGTGAGCAAGTGAGTGAACGCAAGGATCATAGCTCAGGAGAGGAAGAGGCCATTAGCACAGAGCTTTCTAACAACCTCCTGCCTGGCTCCAGAGGCCCAGCGCTCCCTGGCAGCAGGGGAAGCCTACAGAGCCATCTGTGAGTCAGGCTAGAGGAAGAGGCTGCCCACAGGACCTCCAGAGGGGCCTTCCACCCTTAGCGCTGTGTGATTTCTTCTCACCCCACATCCTTTGCTCACCCCACCCCGATCATGCCCCCTTTTCATCCTCATCGTGTCTCAGCCGTGGACACAGAACTCCCATCCGCTCCTGTCTGCATCGTGTAGCTGCATACCAAAGCAGGGCCATGGAGAGGATGACAGCCTGCGAGCAGGACATCCAGGAGGAACCAGACAGTTGAGAAGAGAAAGGGAAGAAAAGCCAGAAGCAAGTGATCTGTGGGCCCTGCTCTTTCCATGCTGTTATTCAGATAGCCTAGCACATAACTCAGAATAGTGGAGTAGCCATTGGCCTCCTATCACATTGGCATATACTTACCTATTCTCTTGTATTCACGTTTCAGTGAGCAGCATGTGGGCACCAGTAAGGTAACTAAGAATTTGGCTTTCAAGTAACTTACAAATAAGCATCAGAGACAAACATAAAATAAAGAACAGGGCAGAGAGAGAATGGTCAAAAAAGAGCACAAGTGATATATGATGGGTGTTAAAGAAATCCAGTGGTGGGCCAAGAATGTAGCTCAGTGGCACCACACCTGCCTGGCAAGCGCAAGGTCCTGAGCTCTGTCCCCCACACCAGGAAAAAAACATCCAGTGGTGAAGTCTGTAATGGGAAAGATAGTTTGGAGCTGTACAAACAGGTTGCCTTGACCTTGGGTGTTCAAATCAGTGAAGATTTCTGGGCCTGACAGTGACCTTTACCCACAGCAGCAGTAGGAAAGATGAAAGAGAGACTTGAAAACCCTGAGTCCAGATCCCAGTAGGGAGCTATTATAAAACAAAGGTACTTTGGCCTAGAGCAGTCCTGGTGGTGGTGGGAATAAGGGCAAGGGCTTCAGAGGTGTTCTAGAGACAGAGCTGGCTGAGAATCACAAGAGGACAGGGCCAGGGATTTAGCTCAGTGGTTCTGCTGCCTGCCTCGCAAGCGCAAGGACCCAAGTTTGATTCCTGGTACCAAAAACAAACCAAAAAACAAGAGGACAAAAGGAAGGGAAGAAAAGGAAATGTGAGAGTGGTTAATGATGAGGGGGCCACACCTTTCTCAGAGCTCCCTATTCATGCCACAGCATGGGAGCGTCCCCAGGTTCTCATTTCTGTCCCCAATAGCTCTGGCTGCTTAGTCACCGGGTTTTCCTTGTCCACTTCACTTCTCACATTGGCACACGGCTGTCTTGAGTTGTTCTCTCCTAAGAGAGCACTCCTGTCCATTCCTACCAGGTTGTAGACTCCTACGTGGAGGACCCAGGCACATGCTGGTCGCCTGGCCGGTGTATCCTGGCCAAAGCATAAACTTGATTTGTGGGACTTGAAGATCTCGACTTACAGTAGCCTGACCTCTCCCCATTCCTCTCCCGGCAGAGATCTCACCTCTGAAGATCAGATTGTGCTGCTTAAGTCAAGTGCCATCGAGGTCATTATGCTGCGCTCCAACCAGTCCTTCACCATGGAGGACATGTCCTGGGACTGTGGCAGCCAAGACTACAAGTACAAGGCCACTGATGTCGTCAAAGGTGCGTCTGGCCTCGACCTCCACCTTTTGCAGCTCCCAGACTCTGGCTCCTCCTCCACGGGGCTGTAGGTCCCAAACGGGCAGGGGGAAGGGCGCTAGGCAACAACAGGGAGAGCAGGGCCAGCTAGGGTTGGAGGTGGGGTGGATGATGCCTCAGTTCTTCCCGTGGCACCTGGCCATTCTCTCTCACAGCTGGACACACGCTGGAGCTGATCGAACCCCTCATCAAGTTCCAGATGGGGCTGAAGAAGCTGAACATGCATGAGGAGGAACACGTCCTGCTCATGGCTATCTGCATTGTCTCCCCAGGTATGAAGCCCAGCGGCGAGAAACTCAGGGCCCTGGAAAGTGGGGAGTGTGAAGAACCGAGCTCTTGAGGGCCAGCAGGGTATCTCAAGGGAGCAGAGAGGAAAAGGAGAGGCAAGCGAGGAGACACCCACTCTGCTGCATTTCCATGACCCGTACACTGTGTGTATGCTTGGCTGTGCCTTAGAGAGATCACAAGTGATGCACAGAATTCTATGCAATAAGATAAACAGGGTCCCCCAGACCACCCTCAGAGTCCCTAGGTCACTGACGGGCCTGGATGTTCCTAACACTCAGGCTGTGCTGCTGCAAGCGCTGAGCTCCACATTGCTGTCACTCGAGGTTCCTTGGAGGCAGGGCTCAAAACCCTGGGCACGATGGATGCTTCTGCCAGGACGATTTGATTGGTTGTGATTCATTTTGGAGACCATGTGCTTTGACTCCTGACCTTTTCTGCTTGTTAGGGGTAGGAAGAGGGAGAAAAGACTGAGGAAGAAGCTACTGTAGCCTTGGTGAGGTTGTGCTGATGGTGATGAGCCCTGAAGGGGCAGCCTTTCCTTGCATGGACCATGGTCAGGGGATAAAGTAGTGGTCCCTGTCAAAGGATGGCTTTCCTGGACTGCGGGCCCAAGGAATAGATCTGTGCTCCCCAGACCCAGTCTGAGCCAGCATCGGCTCCGTTATTCATTTATGGACTCTGCAATGGTATCCAGAGCACTTGCCAGGTACTGTGCTAGGCACGGAGAGTCAGAAGCAAATGACACAGACTTCTCCTCCTGGAAGCTCAGTAGGAAACATAAAACAAATGCCATTTAATAACTAATGCTAATATGATGAGAGGTTTCAAAATAAAACTATGTGATACTATGAAAAGTAGACCAGCAGCAGGGAGCTAGTAAAGTCTGGGTCATGGAGGTAGTCAAGAATAGCCTTCTTGAAGAATGTTTCTTTTATTTTTCAGTCCTGAGTATTGAACCTAGAACCTTTGCACTGAGCTAAATACCGATCCTTAAAAAAAATTTTTTTTTATTTTTGAGCCAATGTTTCACTAAGTCACTAAGTTGCCCAGGCTGTGCTTGAAACTTGCAATCTTCCTGCCTCCACATCTCAGGGTGCTGGGATTGCAAATATTTGCCACCATTCTGGCTTGAAGAAGGTCTTTTAATCTGCTAGCCAAAGGATTAGTCAGTCAGGCAAAAGAAGAGCTGAGTTGCAGAAGAGGTAACGCAGAAGTGGGGCACTGGTGCGAGGACAGAGTACAGAGACAGAGGAGTGCGCGGAGGTGGGACAGGACCAGATGCCCACAAAAGGACTTGATCCTAAATGCAGCGAAGTCACTGGGGGGCTTTAGTCAGGATGGTGACATCACAGGTCAGCAGTCATAAGGGTGGGCTGGGGTGCTGAGCGGGCTCATCCAGGTGGGTGGGTGGGTGTAGCGACACTGAGCAGCAAGGGGCCCGGCTCAGAGCCTCTGTGTATTCTCCCAACCCCTGTGTCTCAGACCGACCTGGGGTACAGGATGCCAAGCTGGTCGAGGCCATCCAGGACCGCCTGTCCAACACGCTGCAGACCTACATCCGCTGCCGCCACCCACCCCCAGGCAGCCACCAGCTCTACGCCAAGATGATCCAGAAGCTGGCTGACCTGCGCAGCCTCAACGAGGAACACTCCAAGCAATACCGCAGTCTCTCCTTCCAGCCGGAGAGCAGCATGAAGCTCACGCCCCTTGTGCTCGAGGTGTTTGGCAATGAGATCTCCTAACTAGCATGATGCGTGGTGGCACCTGGGCAGGGCTGCTCTCCCAGGGCCCGGTGTCCAGGTCTGGGGCTGTGGTGGCCCTCCCACACTTCCTGGAGCTCGGCTCCTCCTCTGCCATCTCCCTTCTCCACTAGCCTAATAACAGGTCCCCCTTTCCTGTAGGCCACAGGCAGCCCCCAGTCCCTTGAGATGTGAGTCACCAAGAGAGGCATTTGTTTGTCAAAGAAACTCAAGTGGGGCCTGAAGTTAGAGGCTGGAGGCCGGGCCTTGCCTAGGGAGGCCCCTGTACTCCTGACATGGCTGCTGCTGGTGCCCGGGGAAGGCAGGCAGGAGAAACGCACCATTCCTCAGGGACAGAGATGTCCACTCTTCCCCCACACTAGGTCCACATGTCCAGAGCCCAGAGGATAGGATCCCCCCTACCCACCCCGGATCCATACCAGCCCACAACCCCACTGCGCCCATCACACCCTGCTGCCAGACTGTGCTGTTCTGTCTCAGGCAAGTGGGCACCATGGGGCCTCGTCCCCCACACATCCTCCCACTCCTGGTCTCCCTGGGATCCTCCAAGGATGACCAAATCCAAGACAGCTAAGGTTGCAACTCCCCATGCCCACCCTGCTGGCCAAAGGGCGCAGGTTTACCCTGCAGTCCTCGCCTTCATCCCTTTGTCGTGGTAACCCTCTCACTGCTGGGCAGCAGCTCTGGTATGGTGGGCACCCTACACATCTCTGGAGCCACTGGCTGGGAACCCTTCTACGAGGGAGCCCAGGAGGGTGAAACACAGGGCCTGGGCAGTGAAGAACGGACAAAGCTGGTCTCCTGAAAGGGTTGTGGGTGGTGACCCCAGGATGTAGCTTTCACAAAGCCCAGGGCCTGAATCTAAGGAGTTGGTCATGGGGGAGCTGGCTCCAGCCGTCCATACTGCAGGACTAGATCATCTCCAGTCCTGGTTGCAGAGAAGCCTCTCTCTAACTCCCCACCCTGCCTTACCTCCCACCAAGGACAACAGGCCTTCCTATGCTTTTCCCCTCTCCAGTGGTGCCCCAGAAGTCTGGAGCAGCAGGCCCTCCCTCTGGCTCTCCTGCGGGAGCCACATCTTCCCTGCCTGGCAGGGTGGTGTGGAGGAACTGGGCTTTCCACTGCCCAGTTATCGTCATAAGACTGCTATGCAGATGAAGAAGCAGGCACTGGCGTTCTGTCGGAGCCTCAGGATGTAGAGGATGTATGTGTAGGGGGCTGATCAGGGCATGTGGCGGTGGAGTGCAGTGGGGCTGGTTCCCTTCCTGTTCTCATTCCGTCACCCAGAAGTGAAATGGAGCCTGTGAGGCAGGGCAGCCTGGGTACATCCCTCAGACCTCACTTCTCTGTAGCCAGCCAGCCCAGGAGATGAGAGCCTCCAGACTTCTCACCTAGGATGAGTTCTTTGCCATAGGTATGTGGGGCCTGAGCAGAGGGGTTCATGAAAGGGGACTCCACGAGGGGCCTCGAGATGACTGCTTGATTTGGGGGAACATCACGGCATTGGAGGTATCAATAGGGAGGTATGAAGGTGACCTTACTGAGCCCCCAGAAGATGCCCCTCTACTGACACTTGTTTTTCCCCCAAAACCCCAAAAGGAGTCAGACTCAACACTGCAAATGTTGCCAGTATGCACCCATCCCTGCCTGTATTTCTCAGGATTCTTCAGGTGGAAAAATATCTAAGAGCCACATTCTGCTGTAGACTAGAGCACATACAGCTTCATAGTAAATATATTACATCTGAGTTGTTTCAGAATCAGACAGCATCTGTACTATTTGCAAATGTCAAGGGTAGCAGGCACCACTGATCCAGAGCTGTTTATTCGGGGCGGGGGGGACTTGCATTGTGAAAATGCTATACATTCATGATTTTTACTGTTTGTGATTGTTTCACAAGAGAAACATCTCTGATTTTAGCTGCACAAGGCCTTGATCTAGCTTACTATTCAGTGGGAGGAAGAGCTTGAAAATTGCTAAACTAGTCCAATGCCCTTGTTAAAAGAAATTGACACTTGGAGGAAAGCATGGTTTGACCAAACTCATCTGATTAGTTAGAAGTTGGGGCAGGACTGGGCAAGAAACTGGAGTCAGGGTCCAGAGCCCTTTTTCTCTAGATCACTTCGCATTCCCCTGGTGGCTGACCCAGTCCCCAGCGGGGAAGGCCTGGATTTTAGACAGAGCAAGTCTAGATGTGGGACACTCTCTCCCCGTTCCCTGGGTTGTAACTCCACGGAGCTATCAGGAGGAACACTTAGCCTGTGCTTCAATGTGAATCTGAGAGTTGGCCCTCCGTGTGGCCCTGTCCTTTGGGCCCTCCACCTTAGGCCTGTGTGATACTATCAATGCAGTGCATCGGTCTTTATAATGTATCCACCTTCCCAGATCTCCTTCTGACCCTCTTCTCCCCAAGGAACTCCCTGGACCCCTGTGAACATCAGGTACTCAGCCCAAGGACCCGTAACCATCCAGGCCACTTCCAAAGGGAAAGTCTAGGTACGGAGGAAAAAATAATAAAGGAACAAGGAACATTTCAAGGGTCTGAAGTGGGAGAAAATGGCATCATCTAGTCTGTTTTAGAATAAGAGTATGAAGGTAGACACATAATCTACAACTTTCAAAATGTATTACTGAAAATTAAGGAAGGTGTACATCGCAATGGGAAATAAACAAGATTTCCAGAGCTAGGGAAATCTTCCTGCTGGCCGACTGGAAGAGAGTAGGGAAAGCAAGTAAAGCCAGCAGAGAAGACTGGAATGTGTAATAAATGTGGTGAAGGCTAGACATCAGGCATAGAAGGCTATAAGGAGTGCCTCCTGAGTGACTTCCAAAGAGGAGAATGTTTGCCAGGAGTTTGTCAAATAAACCAATGAAAATAAAACCTTTGCTTATGGTAATAAAATGGCTTGTACTTACATACCACTTACTTTGTGCAAGTTCTGCTATAAATAAATGCTTCGTGAAACCATCTTGTTTTATCCTTATAAGAACCCTAAGAGTGATGGGCTGTTACTGCTCCCATTTGACAGAAGAAATGACTAGTCTCAGGGCTCCGCTGGTGGTGGGAGGGGTGGGATTTGGATCCTGGGCAGCTGGCTCCAGAGGCCATTCATTCACTGCTACCTTATACTGTGTCCTACTGAGCTGTGGGGGGGTGTCCTGTCAGTACCTTCCTAAAGAGGATTTAAGGGAGGTTCCCATTCCTAAAGTGGGCTCCAAGAGGGAGAAATTAGACATGCTACATCAAAGAGTGCTCTACTCTCAGGAAGTCTTTGCTTAAATTCATCAGGCCTAATCAAGTGTGGCACTTGAAATTTCAACATGAAAACAGAGAGCTGTTGACAAAATTGTGTCATTCATAGAGATGGCTGCTGTTGCCAGTGACTTGTAGGATTGCAAGTGACTCCTAAGAAGAAGTAGGACTCCCAAGGATCCCAGAGCAGCAAGGGCCCATACAGCCCCCTCTGCAAAGATGCATGATGAAGGCTTGCATGGCTAAACACACAAATGAGAACCACCAAACGGGGACATAGCCTTGTGATCTTAAATGGCCTAATCATGCTCAACTAATGTATATGTTTCAGATAAGTTGGCCTGGGAACCTGTGCATGTGATTAATTTTCAGAAACAACTGAAAAGATTTCAAAGCATGGGCTAAAATGTGCCATTGTGGGATTAGAAAGGAGAGTAGAATTGGGGATAGGACTAGGCTATTTTGTCGTGAAAAATCAATGTGCTTAGCCAGGCATGGTGGCACGGGCATATCACCCCAGCTGCCCAGGAGGCTAAGGAAGGATTGCAACTTTGAATCCAGCTTGGGCAATTTACTGACTTAGCAAAACCATTTCTCAAAATGAGATTCTGAAAAGGACTGGGGGAGTAGCTCAGAGGTTGAGCGCCCCTGGCTTCAATCCCCGGTACTGGGGGAAAAAATGCATGGATTTAGAGATATGAAATCAACACCTACATAGATGATAGGTGGACATGTATTCGGCTGGAGACGTGTAAATATGACAATTAAGAAAATCTTGGGCTAGGGATGTAGCTCAGTGGTAGAGCACTTGTCTAGATTGTGTGAGATTCTGGGTTCAATCACCAGTTCAGAGGGGGGGCGGAGAGACTGAGTCAGTATATTAATAGATGCTTTAGGGAAACACAGAATCGCCAAGGCTGTATGTTATATTTAATTTTTCCAGGTAAACTGAGAAATTGTAACCCAGCAAGTTCTTAAAATTAGGCCAAAATGAATTGGAGTTTTCACTTTCCAAATTTTGGTCCTATATCTGCACTGTTCAATAGAGTAGCTATTAGTCACATGGAACTATTAAATTTAAAATAATTTGACATTAAAGTGATTGTGCAGCTCCACAGTTCCACAAGCCACAGTTCCAGGGCTCAGTAGCCTCAGGGACAGTGAAACACAGTACATTTTAATCACTGCAGAATTTCTGCTGGACTGCACTGGTCTGCACCATACATTCTCCAGGTGACTCCCTGAGGACGCTGGCTCAGTTTGCTTCTGCTGATCTCATGTGCAGAACATAACATGGAAAATATACAAGGGACATCCCCCCCTTTAGCAGGTAAGCTGCACCTGGACCACTGTGAATAGTTCCACTCCTCAAAAGAAACACAAAGGAAAATATCCCACAGCCATGAGGTCCATAGATCCAGAGCATCAGACGGCATAAATAGGTCAGTGGTGTGTGGAGCATAGGTCAGACACTTTCGGAACTGAGGTCAAGCAATCAGGACCCCCTTGGAGTGGCAGAATGCCATGGTCAGTGCCTCTAGCTTCTGCAGGGACTGCCTGGAAGCTGCCTGTGCAATGTGTGATCTGTCTGCCTGCCCCATGCAGTCTCAAGGAGGCTAAATGCCATCTGGCACTCCCAGGAGGACCAAAGAGATGTGTCATGATACCGACATCCTATAGGCAACAAGGAGCCTGCATGGATCCTGGGGATCTGCTCTGAGCCAGCAAGAAGCACAGCAGGTATAGAGCTGGTGTCTGGTGAGGGGATTCTGGGCGCTACTGCTCCGGACATGTGCTCTCAATGTCTGTATGGGCACATAGCATATAAGTTACACTGGGCAGTGCTGCAAGTATGGCTGCAGCGAAGTAGACTCTGTGATGTGCACAGATGTACAGGGAGCTTGTTGGAAAAATGTCTCAGGATCTTCAGCTTTGGTAGAAGGGAAGGAATTCAGATCAGGCAGAGGGAAAATGGTGCTGAAATGCAGTCTCGACAAAGGTGTCAACTTCATGGAGAGCTCTGAAGTAGAGATAGCTTTTTAGATTACCTTGAGTTGAGGTGAGGAAGATGAGCTTTTCTATTTCGATGTTAGGGAGTCACTGGATGCAAGCTGTCCCTACAAGAGCATGACTAAGCTAGGCCATTCTTTCCAGCATATGACCAATAGTACTGGGTATACCTCTTCATATTTTGTGAAACCAGAAGAGCTCTTATGCAGTGAGCTGCTGTGACTTTAGAAGGGGCCAGAAGAGTCCTAGTCCCATCTTTGTGACTCTGAGAAGGAGACAGCAAGAGTTTCGGCTACCTTCTGAGGATGGTATTCCCAGTCTCCCCAGCAATGTTTTTTTCTGAAATCATCCTGGGCTTTACCGCTAGGGGGTGCTACTGACCAAAGGGATAGGCTTCAAGTGATGTTCTTCCCGCCCTCCTCCTCTTAGCTCCTCACTTCCTTTCTCTAGTTCCTTGATGCTGACAGATTCAGGAAGACCTGAATCCCTGCTATTGAGGACACCTGGAGATATTCACCTTTCCCCACTGCAGCGACATGAACAAGGGACCTGCTGTCTGGCTTTCCAGGGCACCTCTGGGGTCAGAGCAATGGAGTATCTGACACACTGGGGCCTGGCCTCCTGAACAACACCTGTACTGCAAGAGCGAGGCTGCAGATTCCCTCTGCGGTCCTGCATGATTGTGTCCTCTTCCAATGCCTCTAAGCACAGACACACACCACTGGGCTCCGTGCTGAGGGCAGAGCGATGAATGACAGTCACTTCCCCACTCGGTCTGGTGGGAGAAGGCAGACCCCCAAACAGATGATTCTAAAACAATACCAGTAGAAGCCAGAGTGTGCCATCTAACTGCTGGGTTCCGTTCCTGGCTCTGCCATTTGCTACTTGGGCCACTTGAAGTTTTGGTACCAATAAGCCAGGTGTGTTGATATATGCCTGTAATTCCCAGAACTCTAAGAAGCTGAGGCAGGAGGATCACAAATTTCTGCTAGCCTAGGCAATTTAGCCACCTAGTGAGACCCTGTCTCAAAATTTAAAGGTGGGGGAGCAGATATAGCTCAGTGTGAAGGCCCTGGGCTAAATCCCCAATTAAAAAAAAAAAAACAAAAGAAAGAAAAGAAAATTCCACCAAAAAAGGCAACAATAGTAGCTACCTTGTAGGTTTGCTGTTGTGTTGCAATCTGTGAAAAGCAGGGCATGTAGTCATCAATCGGAATGGCCAGCTGCATTGTTATTGGATAGCGGAGGGAGGGAAGGTTAAGGAGCAGGCAGCATTTTCTTCATGCTCTAAGCAGTGATCTTTGCGGGACTCTGGACTGATTGCAGAGTACTCTCTTTGGCCCCGCCTCCTGACTCAGCGGGGCGGGAGGGAGGAGTCACTGACCCATATGGCCACAAGGGGGCAGGTGTGCTACTTAATGAGCCGAATTAGCCCCAGCTGAGGGGAAGGAAGGGTAGTGTGGGAAAGAAACGGAAAGGTGGAAAGACAAACCTGAAACTCCTGGGACTGTAGTTACTACTACTGTACTATCCCCAGAATATTTCAATTATGTTCTTTCTTTGCCAACTTCATCCTCTGCAGTCCCTCTAAATAAATAAATGCTGTCCCCCACCTGTACCTCACTATGCCTGAACTTCTGACCCATAATTAACGTTGGTGTTCTCTGATGAAGACTGGCTCAGGCCCAGATAAAGGAGAATCAGTAGAAATTTCAGGATCGGGCCTGATCTGTGTACTTGTTGTGCCATCGTTTCTCATCACTCATTAAGTCTCAGCATTTAGCAGAGCCCTACTTCTTCAGTGTAATAGAAGTCCCATCAGGATCTCTCCAGGGTCCTGTGCACTGCCCTAGGTGTTAAAACTCAAGCCACCGTCATGTCCAGCTCTTCCCACCTCTGAACATGCATCTCCCAGCTTGTCAGTTTGCCGGTTCTCAGATGGTTTGCTCATAGGACCCCTTTCCCTCTGCGCGTCTGTCTGTCTGTCTCTCTGTCTGTTACTGGAGATTGAACTCAGGGCTTTCACACTGGGCTGCCTTTCCAGCCCTTTTTATTTTTGAGAGATGGTCAAACTTAATCACTTAGTTGCTTAGAGTGGGCTCAAATGTATGATCACCCTGCCTCAGGCTCCCAGAGTGCTGGGATTACAGGCATATGCCACTGTGCCCAGCCTCTTTACTGACTTAAAAGTAAGGACCTCAAATTTGATCCCTGGTACCAAAAAAAAGTAAGGACCCCAGTGCCAGGAATGCTGGGTCATACCAATAATCTTAGCACTTTGGGAACCGGAGGCAGGACGATTACAAGTTCAAGCCCAGGCAAGTGAGCGATTTAGAGAGGCTCCGT